TTCTCCAGGCTGAACAGGCCCAGCTCCCTCAGCCTCTCCTCACATGAAAGATGCTCCAGTCCTTTAATCATCTTAGTCTCCCTTGGCTGGACACGCTCCAGGAGTTCCCTGTCCTTCCTGTACTGGGGAGCCCAGAACTGCACACAACACTCCAGATGTGGCCTCACCAGGGCAGAGCAGAGGGGGAGGAGAACCTCCCTCAACCTGCTGGTCACGCTCTTTTTAATGCCCCCCAGGACACTGTTGGCCTTCCTGGCCACAGGGCACACTGCTGGGTCATGGCCAACCTGCTGCCCACCAGCACACCCAGGTCCTTTTCCTCAGATCTCATTAGTCACAGGGAATTATTTGCATCAACTCTGCAGTGAGGTGGCTTGTTTTCCATGCAGCTCAGAATCACAGACTGGTTTGGGTGGGAAGGGGCCTTAAAGCTCATCCAGTCCCAACCCCCCTGCCAGCAGCAGGGACACCTTCCACTAGAGCAGGTTGCTCAAAGCCTCATCCAACCTGGCCTTCAACACTTCCAGGGAGGAGCAGCCACAGCTTCTCTGGGCACCTCTCTCCTCTCTCTCTTCTCTCTCCATCCAATTTTCTGTGTGGTGCTGAACTTTTCTTCTCTTCCCAGGCTTTAAATCTTCAAGGCAGGCTGAAATTCCTTCATGGGCAGAACAAAAGGTCTGAAGATGGGTCTGTACTGCCACCCCAGCTCGCTCTCTTCGCTATCTCCACACCTTTGCAGCCCCCATCCATCCTTCAGATCCAAACCAAGAACATGATCTTCAGGACGAAGCACAAGCTGGACTTCACCCCCTTGGCATGCGATGCCAAGTAAGCAGCAGAGCTGGTTTGACGGGTGATGCTGTGGGCTTCCAGCGTGCTGGTCCATACCCTGCCTTGCCTGGGTGATGTCCCACCCCGGCTCTGCCTCTGAGCTGGGTGCATTCTCCATCTCCCACAGGGGGAAGATCGTTTTGGGCTACACCGAGGCAGAGCTGCGGATGTGCGGCACCGGCTACCAGTTTGTCCACGCTGCTGACATGCTGTACTGTGCCGAGAACCACGTCAGGAGTAAGAGTCCCTTCCCCTGTCCCTTGTCCCCACCTCTGAGGCTGATGAGTGGGCTGGGTTTTGAGCAGCTCCAGCTGCTGTGTGGAGCCTGGCAGCTCTTTCCCCGTAGGATCCCAACACAAGAGAGACATGGAGCAG